CTTGGCAATATTTCGTTAGGCAACCATATTTTAATTCTTCAGATAGGTTACGTATAACCAATTTATATTTGACTTTTCAAACAGGTGGCAACCCTTTTCAAAATATAATCGAGCTACAGCTTCTTTAAGCCTGTTGACGTCCATTGTTTAATATAATTTTCAAATAAATAACTCCCTTAATTGAGTTAAATTTAAGTTTTTTAAAAGGTGGCAGCCCTCATCTATGAGTAGATAATGGTTTTATATATCGCCATACCAAGTTCCAGTAACCTATCAAAAATATTTCCTGAGAAATGCAGTATGAAAAATTCCGTTTGTATGGGCGGTACCACGCCCCCTTGTCTAATCGAGATTAAATTTATCCTATATTTTAAGTTGGGCTAAATGACAGCAGTATACAAAATTTCATGATGATCGGTTGAGTTATTAAGGCGTGAAAGCGTAGCAAACAAACAAACTCACTTTCGGATTTATAATATTAGTAAGGAAGTAAGGAAGTAAGGATAAGGATTTGGTATTTTCCTATTTTTCTGATTAAAAAATTGACTTTGAAATGTAGATGCTACAGATTATAAGTAAAAAAAAAGTGTGAGTACCGGTTTGTTAAAATTAGACGGATGTTTTAGAGAATTTTATGTAGTTTTCGAATATATAATTGGATCCTTCACGCGATTTTGCAAATACATATATGAAATTTTCGTTTTTCTTAATTTTCGAATTTCTTAATTTTCGATTTTCAGCTTCTTTTTGCGTAATTTCGCGAAAAGAATTTTTCGAACAGTGGAAAAATCACACCAAACATTGGGAGAAAATAAAATATTTACACCTATGAATGTTTTAAGTAAAACCTTTGCTTTCTGAGAATGGAAAGCAAGAAACAAAAATTAACCAAAATTCCATCACATTTATTTACTGGGCCTACATTTTTTACGAGTTGTCGACGTTATAGTAATCCAATCTTCCCCATATTTTATATTAGGGTTTTCTAAGAGTACACTAAGATTCATCGAATTCGGATGAAATTTAATGTTTCCCGCCCACAAAAGTGGACGGCGTGGCAATTATCCCATCTTTACCAAATTTCACAATTTCCTATTCCTAAGTAAAATTAGAGCACATGTCAAGTTTCAGCGAAATCGGTGCAGGTTAACTATTATTTCCACCTGCCTCCATATATTCGAAACACTGTGGATTGTTAGTCTGGGTACATACTTAATAGAGCTGTCAAACTATCGACGATACTATCGATAGTATCGATAGTCTGGTCACTTGAAATAACTATCGATAGTTTTAGTACTATCGCCACTATCGTTTATTGGTTCAAAGAGAACAAAAATTGGCAGCATTATTTCATGAACGAACGAATAAAGATTACCCAGGACGGTGTGCGCCGCCATATGAATGAAACGGAATGAAACCATGTGTGTGAATGAAACAACCGATTAAAAAATGACGTTATCAACCTTTTTTTTCTCAAATGCAATTGTAAATACGCGGTTGCCGTGCTGGGTGATCTGTTTAGTTGGTTCATAGTATTATTTCTAAAAGCGCCATTTTTTATTTTAAGCGTGGAAATAGCAGAGGTTACATTGCCATCTTAAGAGCGTGTCAGACCGGGCAATGCAGTATATTTCAAAAGAGGCTGCGTTCAGAAATGCATCAAGCCAAAGCACCAGTCTCTTTTATCTATACTATAATTGATAAAAATGTCAAATATGCGCAACCACGGTTATAAGCCGAATTGGAACTTAGTTGCGTAAATAAGACATTTCCATCAATTATAGTTCAGAAATAAAAGATACTGATGCTTTGGCTTGATGCATTTTTGAACGCACCTAGACTGTCAAATTGAGAAATTGCAGAAAGCAATTGCATGAGCAGTCGCACCTTGCATGCAAAGTGTCTTTCGAAAGAAATTTGTTTATTTCCGAAAGGCGAATTGCATGGAAAATTTCTGAAATCGCGTTTTGACTGTTTACACGGCGAATGAATTTCTAGCAATATTTCTCGATACTAAAATGCAAACCGTGAGCCGCTAAAATAAAAAAAATTTATAAAATCAAGATAACGAAAAATAAATGGATTTAGAAAAACACATGAAATGGGTCGATACTATCGATAGTATCGATAGTCACCCTTAAGACTATCGTAAAACATCGATGGACTCGACTATCGATAGTTTGACAGCTCTAAAACTTAACATAAGTAGAAATTACCGTAAAGAGGGATAGAGAGGAGAGAATAGAAGGGAAGCGAGGCAGCGGAATGTCAGTGGTCTAAACTCTCAAAGGCCATGAGGAATTCCTTGTAGTAAGTCCAAACATGATCAGAGAATAGCCCTGGATAGAAAGAATGAGGAAACAAAACTGGTGAAACAATGCAGAACTTTGACAAGCCAAAAGCTAAAGAAGGGTCGGCAGGACGCTTCTAATTTACCTCCATAAACAGAAACTAAGGATTATCACAGGCTACGTAGGTAGGTAGGTAGATGTGTCTATCACTGCTACGCAGGGACACACATAGGCAACGAGTTGAAGACCCGTTGTAATACCACGACTAATAGTGCTCATTCGCCCTTGCTAAACTATTTTGAATCCTTGACGAAACTCGTCAGACACCTAGGGTTTAAATCTCCCAATTGGTCAATGTCACTAAAGAAAGGAGACCCCAGAAAGCGCCATCTGCTTCTAAATAGAAGGTGGAGAACTGTCTTCTCCTCCTCATAGTTCTTGCAACTCTGCAGAATCTACGGTAAAGCACTCCGAGCCGTTCTGAGGGTTTACCTATAAGGCAGTGGCCGGTTAGAGCACCAAATAAATATGTGAGATATTTATATCCTCTCTCTTTGGAGAATATACGCTTCGAGAAATTTTTCGATCCCACCTTGGCCAAGTTTGCCTCCAAATTAAATCCAAATCTCGCTCGCGGGAGCATAGATACATTTTCTTAAAAGCAGCTTGCAAGAGGCGAAGGGCATACCAATGCGTTCTTTGCCCGGAAGAATCTGCTTGGTCGTACCCCTCGTCGCAAGTTCCTCTTTACCTTTTAAATCAGTACGAAGGGCGTTTATCACCTCCATTATAGCTGAGACCTTAGCCTGGAAGAACCTACAGTAGTTCGGTAATCGAAATAAATGGCTCAGGGCAGGGCTGCGGGAGAAAAACCCCCTCCCACTCCACCGAACAGGTTTGAACCATCTGTGAAAATTACTATACTACCGGGTGAAGTGTAGTAGTTTTCGGCCCGTTTCTCCTCGCTTGAGACTTTATTGACGAAGTTTCTATCCCAAACCAGAATTTTAACACAACCATCTGTATAGACCAGAAGAAAGCTATATTTCTCCAGAATTCAGGAGTGATCCAGAAATCCCGATTCCCATTGCCCTGTCTCTCTTAACTGGAGTGCAGCAAGAGATGCGATCTGATGACCCACTAGATCTAGTGGCAGAAAATCCAAGAAGACATTTAAAGCATAATTTTGCGTTGTCCGGATTGTTCCGCTAATGCTGATCATACTAATCCCCAGTACTTTGCTGGGTATATTAAGATTTGAGGCCATGGTCAAGGCCGGCCACTTTACTACCATTCCATAAAGGAGAATCGGTCTAACCACCGCTGTGTAGATCCAGCGGAATATACTCGGACTCAACCCCCATTTCTTACCGATGGCCCTCTTGCACGAATATAAGGCTACTGACTCTTCATATAACTATGCTCTCCTTCCAGCTCAGAATTTTGCTTTATTCGTAAAGCTTAAAAGTCGGCCGTTTAGTTCAGATGAGTCATTAGGGTGGTGTATCTTCTCGTAAAGAGAACAAGTTCGACTTTCTCCGAATTGATGCAGAGGCATGTTGATACATCGCGAAGTGTAAACTGCATCAATTCGCGAAGAGTTTGCGGGAACTTGCCCTATATGCGATGGCTACGTCATCCGCATAAGCAACGACCTTGGCGCTTCCCTACTTCGTCTCTCGCAAAAGAGAGTTCATGCTTAAGTTCCAAATGAGTGGCGAGAGCACGCCACGCTGTCACCTATCTTGAAGGCGAGTTTTCGCCGACGTTTGCCGTGATCACCTTGCACAAGAGCATTTGCCTTATAAACTCCAACAGAGAATTGTCCATCTCTAGTCCCGTCAAAGCCTGTATTATGGCCGCTGAATTTATACTGTTTAAAGCTGCCTCAATGTCTAGAAAGGCTACAAGACAATAGTCCTTTTAACTGAAGGTTTCATCAAAACTGGCCAGGATATGCAGCGTCGTCTGCGTTAACTTGTCTTTCAGATAGGCATGTTGATTGTTATACAGTAGTCGACTATCAATGGTGGAAGATAGGTAGTTACTAACTATCCTTTCTAGGGTTTTAAGCACAAACGAAGAGAGGCTAATATGTTTGAGAGCCTTTGAGTTTGTATGTGAAGGCTTATAGGCTTTAAGAATAAAAACAACGGAGACAGATCTCCAAGCTGTCGGCTAACTGCGTCCCTAGCCTGGCGCGTAAAGCACAAAAGAACTGTCAAAAAATCGTCATGTCCATACAATTTTTATTTTTTGCCCAAATAACGAGGCGCTAGTTAGGTAAATGCGGTGACTGGCTCGATTTAAATAAATATCTGAGTAAGAACCTCAAAATGATCAGCACAATTCTATAGTATTCGATATAACAGATTAGGGGTATTCTCGAAGTCTTGCAAAGCCCTTGCACGGTGTACGGATTGCACGGCTTGCAAAGCTGTCACAAAGCACAACCGGTTTTTACCATGCAATCCGTGCACCGTGCTTTGCAAGGCTTCGAGAATACCCCTATTGCGTTGCAGCTTTAACATTTGAGCCACAACGTTAAGCCGAATATACGAAAGTATTTCAAACATGCCTTTCAGATACATATGTGTATGTATGTGTGCAGGTATAGACTAATGCACAAAAGTGTTCGAACATAAGGACTTCCATCTTCTATTCATTATTATACGTTAAATGAGAATAAATGAGACATTTTAGACATACCGTGTGATAATTTTACATTAGCCAATGTAGCGTTGGTGGCTGCGGCGCACGCGTTTGCTGAGACTGACGCTGTTGCTGTTGCTGCTGCTGCTGCTGCTGCTGAATGATGGCGGTCCCCAAGACAATGCTCAGCAACCAACGTTGATACTGTGGATCCGTTACTACGTCCAATGTGTTGTCCAGTTGTGGTGTTGCCGTTGTGGCTGCAGCTGCTGCCGGCCGAAGAATTTGAAGAGCAGCCGGATGAGGACGACGAATGCGATTGACAGAATGAATGGAGACTGCTGTTGGCGTACAGTGTACCTCCACCATTGCCGAGTGCGATAATGTNTGCTCAGCAACCAACGCTGATACTGTGGATCCGTTACTACGTCCAATGTGTTGTCCAGTTGTGGTGTTGCCGTTGTGGCTGCAGCTGCTGCCGGCCGAAGAATTTGAAGAGCAGCCGGATGAGGACGACGAATGCGATTGACAGAATGAATGGAGACTGCTGTTGGCGTACAGTGTACCTCCACCATTGCCGAGTGCGATAATGTGTGCGACTGTAGCTGCTACACTGCTGCTACCGTTGCTCGTTGCTATCGGAGATGTGGAAGCAGCAGATGAGGCTGATGAGGCGGGTGTTGAGGAAGTGGACGAAGGGCAATTGCTGGTGGCACTATTGCAAGATATGCCACCGTTTGTGATTGATTGTGTTGCGCTAGCTGAGCCAATATAAGCGCCGCAATTAGTGGAGACAGCGAGTGATGTGTTGCTACCGTTGAGCACTTGAGACGATGAATGATGCTGATAAAAGGACGTACAATCGTCTGCCAATAGTTTTAGTGAATCGCTAACTTTAGCATTTGCGATGGGATGAGAAGTTATTGTACTATTTCCAACGATTAATTGCGCTTTTGACGCTACTGCCACAGCTGCGATATCTGCAGCTATTTCTTCTACTTTGGTGGTGGAGTGTGATTGTAACGGCGGAGTTGGTGGGGAGCTAGTGGCATAAGCATCGGATTCAAGCGAACCAGCGTCGCTGAATGCACCCTGCGTCGATGAATCGTCAGGCGTGTCGAAGAAGTGCAAATTGAAATCAGAATTGGCGTCAAAGCTCACTTCGGGCAGTGGATCGTCTTCGTCGTCGCAATCGTCGTTACCATTAATGCCACTAAACGACTGATGATTCTGTTGGTCGATATGGTGCTGTTGTTGGAGTTGGTGTTGGTGTTGATGTTGGTGGGTGGTGTGATGCGATTCGACGATGTCTGCGTCACCGGCTGAGCCGGGTGTATATAGATTATGGGATTGACTACTTGTATTCGTGTTGTTGTTGCTTTCAACGAGACTCGAATGGATTTGCGACTGTTCCAAATCTATTTTGAATACATCCATGTTTCGCTGTTGTCATCCTCCATTGTCAACATTGTGGATACGCGAAAGCAACGATGTAAATAATGATGACGACGATTGTTAGAATGATGGTGATGACGATTATGACGAATAGAGATATGTGTTATGTTTACTCAAAAGTCATTGGTTTTACTCGTAGCGGCTTCTGGTTGCTGTTACAGCAGCTTGCTGCGTAGGAACGCTAATGCTTGCACAGAAACGCAAGTCTTTATCTGGATGCAACACGGGACGCGAACAGATCAACACGAGAAACTACGCGGCATATTTAGTTGGCTCGTTAAACAATTTAAATTAGAGTTAGAGTTTTTTTCACAAGGATTTATTATTTTTAGTTGTCAAACACTTTGTACGTAAAAGACCTGAGAGGCTGTGGATACAACAAGGATTGGCCGAGTACTTCGGAATTCACGGAAAAAGGATGTAGATACTTACTTTTTGTACTGAATGAACCAAAATAATGTAAAGCAAATGTTGATGGCTGCTAATCACGAGATTTCGGTGTGGCAGATATTTTAACTGGCATCATTCATCGAAAGAAATTTTAGAAGTGAAATGCGAGACAAGAATTGAACTATTTAATTGGGGAGCATATACTACATTCACATACATACATACATATGTATGTAGGAAGCTACGAAGGCTTAACTGGCTGATATTTCACTACGAGCTTACCGACATGAAACCTCAGTCCAGCATAAATATTGAAAAACTTAGTGAGTACCAAATAGTGGTGGTTTCGCAGGTTCCACATCGACTGACGACGCTCCATTCCGAGCGAATTAATTGGACACCAATCGTGGCTCTTAAGAACAGAGACTGTAAATAAAAGTTATTTTTAGAATTGAAAATCAAAAGACAAATTATCGTATCGCTTTTTCGAAGAACCATTAATATAATTACTGGAATATAAAGTAATTTCCACACGAGTTGCAAATAACCATTTAGCTTTACATTTTTTAAGCTGGAATAGTCAAAGCCAAGAAGGGCCAATTTCTTCGGCATTTGGAATGAAAAACTGGTCAAACTTTGCAAAAGAGAAAGGTAATTGGTGAAGTTTTTTATTCTCTTTCTTCTGTAGCGTTATATAAGGGGCAGAAGAATATAATGAAATGTTTCGTGTTTTTTCGTTTTTGTTTGTGACTTAACCAGATGTTCTCAGAGTGTTTCAGACCCGTTAGGGGTTCTTTTGGTTTATTTTTTTTATTATTTGGGACTTGGAGCTTTCTCGCAGTTCCTAGTGCTGTTGGTATTATCGGGAGTTTTCGAGTTCGTGTTTGATTTTCGAGATTTTTTCGGGAGTTTCTCGGTGCCTTTTAGAATTATTCGGAGGATACACTAAAATTTCAACTTTGCATTCTTTGAATGATTAAAAATAAAAAAATTTAATTTTCTGTTCAAAAATTATATAAGGCGGGTTCAACCGGTTTTATTGAGTTGTATTAGGCGGTTTTTTGAAAACTTAATTTTTGGAATACCGATTAAACCAGATTTTTATAATCGAATAATCAGGGTTCCATCTATCTAACCAATCTAAACATTCTAAGTATTAGTTTTATTGAAAATGGAATTTTATATCTTAATTCTGGAAAATTTACCACTGCAGAAAAACACATAAAAATAATAGGAAACCCGAATAAAAATCTTCCTCAATTTTTTTTTTTTGTAGCAGCTTACTTAACTCTGTCTAAATCAAGGAATGAAACCGAAAACCAAACCGAAACCGTAACCGTGTAAAACCGTTTCGTTTTTCAAAACCGAAACCGAAACCGTAACCGTTATCTTGACCTGAAAAGGAACGATACCGAAACCATTTCAATCACAGGTTTCCATCGGTTTCCTGAAATTTACAAAAATAATAAATCAAAATTTCTTTGAAATAAATGATTTATTTAACCAAAATCTTTGTTTTTTCTTATTTTTTGGCCTTATAACAATTATATTCAACAATTTTTATTGAGCTCGAGGCCATTTTTTAATGAAAATTTATCATGGAAAAGCAACAATAATTTGAAAAAATGGTAGAAGTGATAGCTATTTCGGAAATCACCACATTTCCTCATCAGACTTTTTTCAGTAGGCTTCGAACCGACGATCCCTTTGACTCAGGCAGTTGCCTATGCACCGTGCTAAGTACGCCTTGTAAATTTTCGTTTGCTTTTTTCCNTTTGACTCAGGCAGTTGCCTATGCACCGTGCTAAGTACGCCTTGTAAATTTTCGTTTGCT